TGGAATTTTACATTTAGCGATCGTACATTTCTGCACAGAATACTTTGTGCTTTATTTTTAAATGGGAAGTTTGGTTACTGGTCTATAGATCTTTTTACAGAGTCTGCAATTAAGTGTGTCTGGATTGCTAAAAGGCTTAATTTCTCCAATTTCCCACGATGGTGTAGCAGGGGCGATGAACACAAGTCATGGATTATTGTGCCATTGTTTGAGATCAGTGTCTGTTCCAAAGAGCAAACATCCTCATTCCATTCCATGGCCAGACAGATCTGTTCAGATGTTTAAATGGGGCAAAAAAGTCCTCCATGGAGTTTTGTTTTCCTCCTCAAATGGATAGGCTCTTTCTCAGCAGACGACTGAACTTAGTTACAATTTGTCATGGAGATCACATGTTCGCTCAGCAATCGATACTGCTAGAACAAATTCAAATGCACACCTAAGGTTCTTTTATTCAAAAGATGGGTAGTATGTACCAATGGCTATCAGAGATTTTAACGCTAAAATAATCCCCCAGATTCTATATGGGGCAGTCATCTGGATAGATGAAATCTCTGAATTCTTGGATAAAACACTTGTTCACTTTCTACACTGGCTGGCAGGAGTTCCTAGATGTCTTGCAGGGGCTGTGCTTAGAATGGGAATAGTTCAATGCTCTTTTGAACTAAGGGCCTGGATGGCTGCCTTCAAACTAAGATTGAAGGCTTTCTATTCAGCATCCAATCCCCAAGGGGGTCTTCTACTTGCTGAAGGAGGATGATCATAGAAGGATGTGGGAAAAATATATAGACAATAAGCTCAAACCGCTTGGCCTCCCCCCTACGCTGCTTAATAATATGAGCTACCACAAAGCATCAAGGCTTTTTAGGATGAGGCCAACTAACCTTGATCGGGCTAGTACATTATTCCATGCAAGGCGTTTATGTTCCACTCTTGCATTAGGGATCCCCCACCGCCACGATTCTACCTTCGTATATGAGATTTCTCACAATCCCTAGACACAGATATGCTTTCATGTTTGCTAGATTAAACACCTTCCAGACTGTGGAGCTAATGGGATGTCTTGCAAAAATCCTGTATTCAGATTGGTTATGTGACTGTGCATCTGGTGCATTATAGTCACTGGATCACTTCTTATTGTTCTGTTCCTAGTGGTCAGTTTCCAGGTCCCTCTAGATTTGTCCGATGTTGCTTAACATAATCTTCCTATGGAATCTTGGATGACATCTCAACTATTGGCAGATACTGATCCTGAAATAACTTGTTCTGTCACAAAATATCTGGCAATAGTAATCTCTCTGAAGTGCCAGAGAGATGTCCCTAAGTTAACTGCAAAGAAATGACAGTTTTATTATATGACTTACTAGGATTTTAGATTACAATCAACTCATGATTTTGAAGATCTCAACAGAAGGTTTACCATCTTATCATTCAGGGTGTATATCATCTTAACCTTTTTTTTAACTCTGTGTATTAATTATATTAAGGTATTTTAATCTGCTTCAAAAAAATTTAGGTTTTATGGTTTTTTATGTTATGATAATTCTGGTTTTATTATTTGTTTACTGGAATTATTTAAATTCTCCTATATAATATCAACTGAAGCTATAATTTTATTTTGGTTCTGTTTAAGCTTAAGACCTATGGTCAAATGAGCTAAATAAAAGCAAGTAGGTTTCTGGTATATGATTTAGGATATGTGTATCAAGACCATTTTCAGCACAGTTGTTTCCAGCTTGACAGTTGAACAAACAGATGTTTGCAGTGGGTGGGTATTCCTTCCCTAATAGCCTTGACAGAAAGTCAATGTATTTGAATAAATTGTTAGGCCCTACTTTTTATATTTTATTGTTAGTAATTGACTTAGCTCCTGATACACCCACAACTTGAAAAGTCGTTGCTTTTCTACCAGACCAAGTGGGTTAAAATATTTGAGGTCTTTTAAAAAAAAATTTCTTAGTTGCTGGATTTTAAGTTTTTTTCCATCTCCCCCCCCCTTTAATGAGTAAGGTAGTTATAGCCAGGCAAGAGACTATGGGAAACAGTTCTTTAACATAGTCAATAGTATTTTGAAATAAATACTGGTTTGACTTGATTATTTTTGTACTCCCTTCTTTGGCAATATTTCTTTGGATTGTTATTGAAGTGATACTTATGTTTTTTATTATTTGGAAGTGCTATTAAGTGCCATTTATAGTGTGTTCTAATTTTTCAGGAATTTTTCAGTAGGCATCTCAACATTTCTTTGTCTGAAAACCAACTTGCTAGAAAAATTAGTAAAAACATGAGCATGGCTAGTTAAAACATATCAGTTTTAGTGTTTATGGTATAACTGACTTACTCTTGAAGAAGCTTTAATTTGAATTACTAATATCAAGCAACCCACTCATTTCAAAACCTGCACAATTTGTAACAGCAAATGTGTGGCTACCTAAATGCACTATGCCATAGAAGTTCTACACTGTTATGGCAATATGTTTAAAGCTGTCAGTTTGTCATACTGTGAGAAGTATTTATGAAATCAATATACAGTTCTGAAGATTTGTAGAAGCTGTATTGTTAGCTGGAGGAGCACCTCAAGAGAAGATAAAATTAATTCAGTTTGCAAGATTTTTTAAAAAACAAAAAGAGATTAATTTCCTGCAATCCTCTGTTTTCTTTGATTGCAGTGAAAAAGACAGAGTGTAGGGATAAGAAAGACAGCAGCAATATCTCAGTATGCTATAATACTGGAAAGATAGCTTTAAATCATGAGTTTGTTTCCATTCTGTTCTGCTTGAGGCAATATAGATGGAATATATTTCTAAGAACATATTCTGGTTTTCTAGATGTGTTGTATTCAGATATGGATGCTTACCTGATTCAAGTCAGTTTCTCTTCATTGCTTATTTTGTGGTTCTCAACTCTTGATTTTTCTAACCATTTTTCTTGTTCTATAAGCCAGTATGTGGGTCTTCCATATTGCATCACTCAGTGTGTCTCTGAAAGCTTTTTCCCCTCTCCTTTTCCTCAGAATAAGAACAAAGGCCCATCATGGAGCATTATTTAATAGCTTAATATAAAGCAACAGAGTCACACAGAAGATTATGAGGATCAGGTATTTTACTAAGCAACAAATAGGAAAAATCAAAATGACCAGGAATGACCAGCATGTGCATTTGTGTGACTGTCTCTGACAGAACAATTAAAGCTACCAAGAGGAATTGGTGTAGACTAGATGACTAGTATAAATTTAATTAATTTGACAAGGACATTTTGGGAGGGGATTGAATAGACCATCATCCTGATGGAAAACAGAAGAAAGCCCTTGGTGACACAGCTTGACCTGGGATGTCAGTGTGAGCTTTCTGTGTGGTGCTCTCAGTCAGAGAAACAATGCTTGTTATTCAATAAAATCAATTTGATGGACGGCTGCAATACAATACAGAATTTATTTAAACAGGGAAAAATTCCATGGGGTGCATTATAATGGATGCTACTTAGTTGAAAAATCTGTCTTTAAGTGGACAACTTGTAAATCCCTCAAAGAGCAAAGATCTCTTTGGGGGAAGTACTCTTAAAATCAATGCAATATCAAATGATTTTAGAGAAACAATGGTTTCCTATGCCAGCTGATCAATAATCATGAAACAGTTATGTGTCTTTCTGTTGATGCAGAATTACATAGGAGTACAGTAGCACCATAAAGATTGTGTTATTTTTCAATATATTTCTGTAAACTGCAGTTTTTGAATATATTTGTCAACAAATACAAGCAGAATTGGTAGCATTTCATAATGTTTAGTTACTTTTTTAGGTGGGAAGAGTCACACTTTCTTAGTGGCTTGATTGCCTTTCAATAGGATTGCCAGGTGCCCAGCATCCCAAACCTTGAAGCTTGTGTTGCAGGGTCTGGTGAAATTATAGGGTAGGAACTAGTTGTGTCATGGAGCATGACCCGCCACCCCACCCAGGATCATGAAAATTCACTATGCACTAAATGTAACATATATTGTTAGTGCCAGCTTTTTGTCTCCTGTCTTCAATTTACATGTGCAATAGTTACCAATAGCAGCCCTACGTAAAAGTCTAGACTGAAGGCATCAAGTGTATGGCCCTAAGTATTTGTACATGGCCTAAAGTTCTGAGAATGGTCTCAAAACCTGAATCACAGGCTGAATCACAGGGCCAAAGAAGATAAACTATAAGTTGGTAATGGTAACTTTAAACCCCAGCAGAAATAAACACACACTCCAAATTAAACTAACCAACCAGACGTCAGATCTGAAACCATCGAATACAGCTTTCTTGAAATATGCCTGGAAAAATAAGAATTTTTTAAAATCAGCTTGCTAGAAAGGACAAGCAGTAAAGCCAGGCACACCTCCTTATATGTGTTTTGACAACAATACAGCTACAGAAATATGCCCTATGCTTAGTGGATGCCAGCTTTGATTGCAGAAGAGGTGGCACCTAGGGCTTAAAGTTTAAATTTAAATATATGTTTAAGAGTAAAAATTAATGCTATATTTAATAATTATATCCCTTGTCTTTGATAACCCTTAACAACCAGACACATTTTGTACAATGAATGGAACTGCCAAATTCTGCCTGTTAAAATAACTAACCTGTTAAAATAATGTAAATGTAAATTTCTGTCACGTTTATTCATTATTTATTAAATTAAAATTTTAGGCCGACCTCAAAGACAGGGCTCAGGGTAGCATAGAACACAGTAAGAATCCAATACAATTCATGAACCACAGCTAAAAATTTCCAGAATTAAAATATAAAAACACCTAAAAGATATTTAACAGAGTCCAATCCATCTGATAGCAAAAGTTTACAGAAGATGCCACAGCCTGGAAGAGATGGAAGAGTGGAAGGGGGGGGGGGAGTGCCAGACCGTGTTCTAGCCGCTGCTGTCCTCAACCAAATGATCTGCAATTGCTAACATTTCTGTATGCCAATAGATGCTTTATGCCATTTGTTCTTAACGAGTATGTGTTTTCTTTGTTTTTTAGGGATTTAAGTGAAAATCAGATTCAAGGCATCCCAAGGAAGGCTTTTCGTGGAATTACTGATGTGAAAAATTTGTAAGTGGCATCTATGCTAGATCTTGATGTTAATTTGAATTTCTTATATGCTACCTTTTGAGAGCCAGATGTCTGCTGTATTTTTAAGTACACAGAAATAGTTTGCGTGCCTAGAAATTGAAGGTCAGTTTGCATAATACTCACACACTGTTTTCGATCCAAGCACACTCCTCTGATATCCCGTTGTCCTTCATAGGAATATTGAGTGCAGTGAGCTCATTATTTATTTGTTTGTTTGTTTGTTCAGTCATTCAATTTATAGCCTGCCTTCCCCTTTATAACAGGGCTCAGAGCAGGTAACAACATTCATAAAACACGCCATACAGGTAGGAAGAAGAAGAAGAAGAAATTGGATTTATACCCCGCCCTTCACTCAGAGTCTCAGAGCGGCTTACAAACTCCTTTCCCTTCCCCTCCCCACAACAGACACCCTGCGAGGTAGATGGGGCTCAGAGAGCTCTTTCAAGAACTGCCCTTTCAAGGAAATCTCTTGTCAGAACTATGGCTTGCCCAAGGTCATCCAGCAGCTGCAAGTGGAGGAGTGGGGAATTCCATAATACAACAACTAACAACAACTAATAGATGGTATATAAAAGGGGCACAACCTAGTGCTCCTTATCCAGGAGGGAAATAAATATCCTAAAATTTGACCAAAAAGAAAGAAAGGGGAGGGGAAAGAGGAAGGGATACCAGTCTAAGTTGGGGGGAAAACATTGCCCTCTACCATAGGCCAGGTGGAAGAACTTGGTCTTACAGGCCCCGCAGAACTGCATTAAATAAATAAATAAATACTTCTGGGGATGGAAGAGGGGTCACTGGGAGTGTGGGGGGTATTTGTGAATTTTCTGCATTGTGCAGGGGTTGGACTAGACCCTAGAGGTCCCTTCCATCTCTATGATTCTGTGATCCTATGATCTCACCCAGCAAAGTGTTCCACCAGGTCAGAGCCAGGGCTGAAAAAGCCCACGTTCTGGTTGAGGACAGCCGGACACTTTTGGGGCCAGGTATCACCAGTTGGTTGTTATCACTAGAGCATAATGCTCTTTGGGGGATGTATCAGGAGCAGTGTTCCTGAAGGTATTCTGGTCCCAGACCATTTAGGGCTTTAAAGATTAATACTAAAACCTTGAACCTTATCCAGTATACAACCTAGAGCCAGTACAGCTGGTGGAGCACCAGTTGGATATGGGCTCTGAAAGAAGTTCCCATAAGAACAAACACATTCTGGACCAGCTGTAGTTTTATTTATTTATTTAACCTTCGATTTATATACCGCCCTAACCCCCCCAATGGGTGTCTCTGGGCGGTTTACAACTTGTAGTGCTAATCACTATTACGGATCCCTAACTATGGGCACATTCTCAGGGGTTGGGTCAGCCTACCTAGCACCCCGGTGGTGGCGGCTCTTCCTTCTGGTCTCCGGCTTCGGCTTCCTTGGCTCCTTCGGTCGGCAGGACGCTCCTTTTCTCTGGCGCAGTTTCCATGTCAGTCTCAAGGGTAGCCCTGCGTAGAGTGAGTTACAGTAATCTAATGTGAAGGTGACCATTGCATGGATCACTGTGGCTAAGTCAGAGTAAGACAGGAAGGGGACTAGTTTCTTAACCTGCTGTAGGTGAAAAAATGGCTACATTTGTGACCTGGGCTTCCATTGAAAGAGCGGCATCCAGAATCACACCCAGACTTCAAGAGCTGGGAGTTGGCACTCCAAGCTGCAAGAGAGGAACAGCTGGGATGGCGGGAGCTAACAGCTCTGTGCCGCCTCAGCTGGAGCCAACCCAGGATTGTCCAGGGTGGCAGGGGTTGACAGCTCCACAGTGTCCCAGCTGATCTCTTTAAATGCCTTTTTCTTCTTCATTGGATGCAATGGAATATGGGGGCATCTTCTTTTAAGGCCCATAGAACTTGACCCCCAGGTCTAATCTTTTTGAGACTTGGTTTTTTTTTAGAGACTTAGGGGGAGAGGGACCAGCAGCTATGCTACAAATTTGATGTTTCTACCTCAAAAAACAAAACAAAAAATAAATGGAGCTGCGGTGGCTCAAGTGGTTAAGACGCTGAACTGCAGGCTGTGGAAGGTTGGTAGTTCAGCAGTTCGAGACCCGGGTGCCGCATGACGGAGTGAGCTCCCGTCTCTAGTTCCAGCTCCTGCCAACCTAGCCGTTCGAAAGCAAGAAATTGCAAGTAGATAAATAGGTACCACTTCGGTGGGAAGGTAACAGCGTTCCATGCACCTTGGTGTTTAGTCATACTGGCCACATGACCACGGAAATGTCTTCTGACAGCGCTGGCTCTTCGGCTTTGAAACGGAGATGAGCACTGCAACCCTAGAGTTGGATTCGACTGGGTTTCAAGCAAGGGAACCTTTACCTTTTTACCTCAAAAAACAGCCCCCCCAGAGCCCCAGATGCCCCCAGATTGATTATCCATTATATATAACTAGGGAGCAAAGCCCGTTGAGCATGGATACAACAGGCGGCCTAGAGAGGTTGGGCGGGTGGGTGAAGTTGGAAGGGGGAGAGAGAAAGGTGCAGCCGCGTGTCCGGCGGGACGGGTGGGTTCGCGAGGCGAGGGGAGGGAGAGAGCTCGAGAAAGTGGAGGGGGATAAGGGAGGTTGGTGGGTTCGGGAGGCCTCCTCTCCTGTAAACGGAAGGACGCGCGCACCCCCTCTACTCTGCACCTCTGGGCGTGCCGTTGCCCCGCTCAGCCAGCTCACGTCGCGAGGCCGTTTTCCATGTGCTGGCCGGTCCTCGGTGGCTGCGGCCTCTGCTGGCGCTCTGCCCTCGCCGTGTCCGGATCCTCTTCCCCCCTCGTCCCGTCTCTTCTCTGGCTCCTCCTGTTCCCAGCCCTCCCTCGGGGTAAGGCTCGCTGTTGTGTGGCCCCCCTCGCCTCCTCGCCCTCCCCGCTCTTGCCAAGGCCGCCGTCGCCTCCAGGCACTCACGGCTCTCGCCTTCTCCCCCGGCAGCGAGGCGACCTGCGCCTCGGCCAGGGCGACGGCCGCCGTCTCCCGCAGGCTGAAAGTCAGCTCCCAGCCCTCGTTCGTCCGCGCCGGCGCCATCCCTCATCGCTCCCCGCTGCGTGAGGCTGCGTCAGAGGCGGCACTCGGAGAACATAGTCAATGGGACATGGATAAGCCTCTGAGGGACAGCGCAGGCGGCCTAACACTGTGGGTGCGCATTTTCTGTCCCCTGCGTCAGTTTGCGTCTTACTTAATTATTATAAGGGAGAGATAGAGCAGAAAAAATTGATTTCCTGAATATTTCCTGAATCCGAATACCATACTGGTATTTGGATTCAGAAATATCGGGAAATATTGATATTTTTCAGGTTCAATGTACCCAAACAAGAAAAATACAATTTTTCCCCCAGCCCTACATTTGGATCTTCTACCCTCAGACACTAACATTTGGGGCTGTTATTGGTTGTCTTGTTACAAAGTGGAAAGTCACATGATTTGTTACCAGGTAGGAATTTAAGCTGTTCATAAGGTATGTACCAGGTACACATAGGTTACAAATTCTGTTCCAAGACTCAAAAGTTGCCGCTTCCTCTCAAGTAGTAGAAATAATTAGTATTTCCATAATAGTTAAGTTTTCAAAGCAATCCATAAACTTTGTTTCAGTAATCCTTAGAGCATCCATGTACACTAGGACAATGTTATCCTGCCCATATTACAGCTTCCCCCACCCTGAGAAGGCAAACAACAAACATACTGTTGCATAAACTTTTGAAAGTGGGTGCCAGAGTCTTCTTACTGGTACCTGGGAAAGTGGTCTCTGGATCATGAAAGCTTCTATAACAATACCTTTTTTAATATTTAAGGTTTTGCCACATTCACATTGTTATTTCTTTCGTAAAAGCAGTATCTTAAAAGCAATATCTTCAATGTTATATTGAATAGCATTATGTGTATGAACATGATATTAATCTCCAATTATTTGGATTAATTCAGTTTCTTTCACAAGACTTCATAAGAATAGGAATAAAACTTTAGTGACAGTAAATTCTGTTTTAAACATTTTAATGAATGTACTTTAATTAAGAGTGGAAATTATAATTTCTTGTAAACCAGAATTTTCAACCTGAAAAAAAAAAAAACTTAGGAACCCGTTAAAATAACAACCAGCATTCCTTTGGTCTTTAAAAGGTATTTCTACATTTTAACTTTAGTGTCAAAATCTTTGTTGTGAAGTACATAGATAAAATAATATTTTGGAAGACACTAACAATATACTGTTCTAAGACTTTTGAACTCAAAACGTTTCTATACAAAGGACAATGCAGTAACACATGATCAAGTGTTTCAACGGGTGACTGTTGTGGGGAGAGAAAGGGAAGGTGATTATAAGCCTTTTTGAGACTCTTCAGGGTAGAGAAAACCAGAGTATAAAAACCAACTCTTCTTCATTCATGTCAAATTGGCAGGGACAAACACATTGCGAGTAAGGGATACGTGTATAACCCACTTCCAGAAGAACAGAAGATAATGCATTAAAGTTGGCCAAGGTGAAGGCTCTTCAGTATTTAGGGAAGTGTAAAACCTAGAGAAAGCCTACTGGAGCAAAGTTTTTACCAGGATTCCCTATCACTGGATAAGACTGTGTTCATGTTCCGTCTACTTGAAGAGCTGTATCCCAGATTTGCTATTTAATTATATATTTGGCTTCCATAAATCCAAGATGGCATAGTTATTTGAAAACACACAGAGATCAAAATGCAAGAGGCTCACAATATCTTTTCTCTCCTGCATAGTACCTAGGATTGCCAGATCCCCTGGGGGGTGGGGTTTTTCCCACTTTAGGGCCCCCCAATCTGATGCCCCAGATCTGACCAGCAGGGGGAACCCCGCCCTCAAAGTGCCTGGATCAGGCCAACATGCCCGATGTAATCACATCACCCAGAGGTGACATCATCGTGCCAGGCATGTCACTGGGGGGATGCTCTAGCATTCAGCCTGGAAATGCTAGAGCGGCCCCCTGGCGATGTCCCTAGTGTGATGATGT